CTTCTACATTAAAACAATTGTAGCAACAACAACAAAAAAGCACCTATAAAAATAATTTTCAAATTGCAATAGACTGGAAGCATAACATTTCCAGTGCAGTGTTACTGATGTCCGTTAAATTCTCCAAATAGAAATTTCTCTTGTCTTGTAAACTTAAAATTATCTCCAATATGTCCAGTATAATTGTTTCACATTTCATTATTCAGTAATATGAATGCTAACAGTGGAATAGCAGGTGATACAGAAATCCATCACACTGATACTTTTTTCTAAGCAATGCTCTCCTTTTAGTCTTTGATCATGAAGGCCACTTAAAACAACCTTATGGTTTATAATACACGTAAAGAGAATTTTTTGGAAAGCCTCTCAGTAGTTTAATACAGCAGACTTTCTACTCAGGAAGAACACAATAAAATGCCCCCAACTGCCTGTTGTTACAGGGTCACTGAATTATATTCCCATTGTTCCCGCAAGTCCAGGTCCTCTTGCTTTGCTGGTGCTTCCTCCATTTTTAAAATAAGAAATCATTTGGCTACACAGAACCACCTCACGACATCCTTTGTATGTATCATCCCTACTTTTCTCTTTTCTTGCATATTGACCCAGGTTTTGAGAGGATTGCTGTGGTCCCAAGTTTTATCCTTTACTAAAGTGGGAACTGAATGAAGGTGGAACACAAATGATCTGGAAGCAAAGGAAAACCAGACATTTGAAAAGGAAATGCTGTGGAGGGAATTCTTGGCTTTTGAACACACACACACACACACACACACACACACACACACACACTGCAAAACAGACAGCAAGGAAAACCTAGAGAGAGAATCACATCAGGAAGATGGTCAAGACAGAAGGTTGGAGCCAGTGGCCCTCCAGATCTGAACAGAAACAACTGTGTTTTATGACGAACAGTTAAGCATTCACATGCACCGTTTTGGAACACAAGGTACTTTGAGGAGTCGACATGTCTTCATAATTCATGTTCATTGTTCCTCCAAGTAAAATATGTGCCTCCCTTTAGTTACTCTGCTAGGAATTATACTTCACAGGCAAGGGGACATTTTTGATAATGCACATCTTAAGACTTTTCATTAAAGTATCAAATTTAAATTCTACCTTTTTGTGCACTCTGACATTTTTGTCTGGCATTTTCATTAATTTTGCGACATACATAAATGTAGCTGAAATGTTAACTGATCAATACTTTGTCTCTCTCATGTAGCACTAGCACTCCATTCCCCAAGGACCACACAGCAGAACAGAAATTAAATGTGTAAAATATCAAATGTTAATGTTAAACACAGCAGCACTTACTGTATAACGACAGAAAAGGCTAAAACAATTCCAAATGGACAGATGGTACCACAAATTATCTACAATCACATTTAAAGATTAAAGTTTGTCCTGTAGAATAATTCTTTTGACGCACACTGAAGTGTGTCCTTTTACTGATAGCTCAGTTGTCCAATTATTTTTGTGCTCATTACAGTGAGAAATGACAGTACTGAAAAGAAAAAGTATGTACACTCTTTTTCTTTTCTATTTTTTTTTCTTCCATCTTGCACCCACTGACATCCACAAGAACACAAATGTCTGGTCAAGAGCCTGATGAAAATTAGGCCCAATTTCTGCGACGTGTCCGTTTCTACAATAGATGATTTCCAAAGATGAGCAGAGCCTTCTGTAGCACACACGTCTGTGCTCATTCCCAGGCAGACAATATTCCCAGCAACACTTACAAAACCCAATTCATGGCGCTGAACAACAGGCAGTCCCAGAAATGTGTTTGCTTATTTTTTACTGGCCCCGTCCACCAGACTGACATCAGTCTGTACTGTCACCAGCCGGCTTTGAATCCTCCCCACTGTACACAGGTAGGGCCGTGGAGGCTGAGGCCACCATCGGTTCGCCCTTTCTCCTGCTTTCCAAATTCACTGACACCAGGATGCAAAAATGATTGTTTTGCCATTTTGATCACATTATTCTATGCTTAGCTTTGGAGAGCGAATTAGAAAAGGAAAAGAAAATGGAATAGAAAAAAAAAAAAAA